GTTCCGTAGCTCCATGCTTCATGTGCTGCCACCTTTGCGCCGCTCAATTCAATGGAGGTTACAGGATTTTAACGTTGAGGTAGTGTGACGTTGCATGTGTCATATGTTTGTATTGTAATAGCTATATGTGTATACTGTGATGATTTTCTATATGAATTTGTTCAGTAAGCAGGAGATGAGGGTACTTGACAAGTATTGTTCATCATACATCTTTGTGAATATATAAATCTGAATCATATAGACTTTTATTAGATGTGCAGCTGCAGTTCTGCATTTCTGCATTTGAGGTATGTTTGAACATGGCTGTGCTTGAGCCCCGAGATGATTGTAAACGTTAGCCTCTCACTGTGACGGAAAGAATTAACAGACTCAGAGTTTTTTTTTTTATTTATTTATTTATTTATTAGGAGGGTGGGACTAAGTCCCTTGTACTGCGGCCACTTCTGGCCTGTTGTACCAGAGGCTCATAGTTAGTATGCTGTGGAGTGAAACAGATATGTTATGTGGTGAAAAAGATATAGATGTTGATTTTATGTGTAAAATAATGAATACTCTCAATATTCGTGTTAGAAATTGAGAATCTGAAGTATGCCATTATGGGATCATATGTTGGAGAGATAGGGAAGGACTTACTAGAACTGTTATGCAGGTTTAAATGATTCGTTATTTGTTAGAAGAAAAGATTAATATTATTACAGGTATTTACGAAACAACACTTCACAGTATAGATTAGTTTGTATTTGATTCATGAAATTTGGTGTTGTAGGAGAGTGTAAAAGTAGGTACAAATTTTGTGTTGAACGCTTCTCTGTATTGGTAAGTACGAGCTTGGTTCCAGTGAACTTTAAGTAATGAAGCTTCACTGTTTGAATTACTTTATTTGCAAGTAATTTGCACTATGAAAGTTTGTGTTGATTCCCATCATTTCTCCATGGCTTGCACAGTCTTTTGAGTGGTTTGTAGCCATATTCTTTAATTGTTGAGCAGAGTGATAACACTTTTTTTTTTTTTGTAATGATGGAACTGATGGATGAATCAGGTTCTGGGGAAGATTAGCATTTTCATTTTATGAGATGATTGTCTATATTATATTTAAGCATCCTGTTGCACTATACACTTCTATATGTAATGATACAAATGCCATCGTGAATGCAACAATTTATTTGGTTGTAGTTCTTTGTCTTTTCTTCCTCTACACTACTCTTCGGTCGTAACTGGCCATCATCAGGTGTATTTTTCACTACGTAGCTGTCACACTGCACACAATCCAAAATCTAAAACACCAGCCTGTCACTTTTGTTTAAAATCTTGCCAACATATGACTCGTAAATTTGATTTTAGAATTCCAATTTAAAATTTAAAATTTTGAATTTTTTAAAATTGAAAATTTAAAACTTTAAATTTTGAATTTTAAATTGGAATTCTAAAATCAAATTGACAAGCGTATGTAGGCGAGATTTTAAACAAAAGTGACAGGCTGGTGTTTTAGATTTTGGATTATGTGCAGTGTGACAGCTACGTAGTGAAAAATACACCTGATGATGGCCAGCTACTGCTGAAACATGTAGTGTAGAGGAAGAAAAGACAAAGAACTACAACCAAATAAACTGTTGCATTCATGACAGCATT